GAACTTCATTTTTCTAATTATTAAGGAACTTATTTTTCTAGAAAAAATATTTTTAAAAACGTATTATCCAATCAAACATGGAAAAATTGAGTACAATATTAAGTGAAGTTAAATAACCATCACAGTGTTAAGAAATTAAGCTCAAAGCAACAATATAAAATAAGAAAACAGATAAGAGATATAGAGAGAATGAGATGAGAGATTCTTATTTCTTCCATGTACTCAAGTATTACAAAATGACTTATCATCCTCTATTTATATTACTACATAGAGGTATACCAAAAAAATTCCATAAATATGACATTAAGCATTTGAGATCATGGAGGAAGATCAAGGGAGAGACTATGGAGGTATGAGAATTACAGCCATAAGTATTGGAGTAGTGGGAGTTATGAAGATAATGGATAAGAATAGTGGTTGTTATTCATTTAGGAATTATGGACATCTACCATAATCTAATATTTCGTAACACTCCCTCTTGGATGTCCAGAGATAATGTTCCTCCTTAAAACCTTACTAGAAAAAAATCCAGTGAAAAAAAAATTCTAGTGAAAAAAAAAAAAGAGTACGCATATCTTATAATACACATAATCTGCGGCCTCGTTAAAAACCTTGTCAGAAAACGTCATAGGAACAAAACCTATGTAAAGGGAAAAAGAGTACATCGCGTATTTGTCTCCCCTGATGAAAACATCACTTTATTCCATGAAGACAATGCATTTCAATCTTGTGTTTCAACTTCTCAAACACTAAGGTTGGCAATGCCTTAGTGTACAGATCAGCCAAATTATCACATGAACGAATTGTTGAATATCAATTTCACCATTATATTGAAGATCATGCTTCTGAAAAAGAACTTTGGTGAAATTTGCTTTATTATGTCTCCTTCGATATATCCTTCTTTCAATTAAGCTATGCAAACAACATCATCTTCAATATTATTGAAATCTTCTCTTCAAAGAAAAGTCACACGTCTGTTGTGTGTTAGTCACTTGCTTTGTCAGTTGCTTTTCTTGGCATGACTTGAATAAGTATCTACAATTAACTGCCTTGTTGAATAATAATATGGCATTACCCTCACATGCAAATAGATTGTTTGAAGAACGAACTTCAGAAAAACGCCTGCATTTGATAGTATTTGTTACAATAAACAGATCTATATCAAGGATTCCTTTTGTAATATAACACTAATCGTATTTCCATATATTCACATAGGAGTAAAACTATATCTCACTAGAATATTGTTATACCTATGGTTCTATCAAGATACATTAGTGCACCAATTGCACTAGACACAAAACAAATTATTTACACCATGATTGGTCTAATCCACATAAGGATTTGATGAAGCTTTATTTAATAAGTTTCTTGGGAACCTTAATATGCTTCAGAACAACTAAATCCTTCAAGGATTTTTTATTATACGCATATCAGGTTTTTCATGTATTGCCAAATTAAAACCTGAAAATGATTTCATCCACTGCAGGAGAACATATCTCCATATAACTAATGCCAGGATATTTACGAAAAATTTTGTGCCACAAGTCGTCTTTATGTCTATCGACTTGATTTTTATTTCACTTTCAGATGTTGGGACTATCCCTCCAACTTCACATTTTTCGAGTGAAGTCAATTTTCATTGTGTAGTTTTCATTTGGCCAATCATTTATGTGTCCAATTTCATGATAGATTTGAGCTCAAGATCCTCGTCAATATTCATAATAGTGAGTGCTACATTATATCAACAATAGCGTCAATGATCATTTTACACCGGTTCCATCATCACACAATAAAGACATAACTTATCGATATCTCATTATTTTCAAGTACTTGAACCTCTTCCATGAGGTCTTATAAAATGTTATGTCGCGGTGCTCTTCTAGAGCACTTGCCTCCTTATTGTGACCATCTTGATCATTTGCTCCACTCCTTCTTCAAGGAGTTTTATCTTTGGAACTAATTTGTCTATTAAACTTTATGCGTGTCATATACTCTGTCCATCATGGACTTCATTTAGTTGGAGTATAACATTTAGCTTTGGATCAGCAAATGCCCCTGGCAATATTTCGCTGATGAATTATCACTTGAACTTCAAGTTCACATTTTCTTGTACGAGGATCTAAATGTACTCATAATAATTCATTCCACGTATTACTTTTTCAGCTGCCCATTTTCTCCCCCTAATGTTAGAGTCACCAACACATTTTCCAAACTTCTTTGGAAACCCATCTTTGTGCATTGTGGTGGGATAATTAAATCATATAGCACATTCATATTTCTAGATAGAAATTATTTGATTCCTGACCTTGAACCAATTGTGATAGGGAAAAATTATCATAACTTGTTGGCTAGATGCGTACAAGTGCTGTTGTATATTAAAAAAATACATCTCATACCAAATTTCCCTTTTTTGGAAAGTTTTATTCTCATAACTAATGGTTTAGCTATAATTGGAGGCATACAGTTTTCTGCTAAACCAACTTGGAGTTAAACCAGCATTATCAAGATAAATCATCATAATTTACATTCTGGAATTGCGCTCTAATAATTTGAGCAAGCAACCTTGCAAAAGTGAAACTGCAAGTTGATAACAAACGCACATGTGACCATACAATAGATGCATCTACTAAAATCATATAATAGTAAACAGTCCACATGGCAGGTGACTGGGCCATATATATCACATTTTATCCGTGCTAGAAATCAAGGGATTCAATCCCAACATTAACTCGTATATCATGAGAATAAGCAACACAAGAGAATTCTTGAAGAATCTTCCATTTCTTCAGTATATGCCAATGTGAATTCTCAATTAATTTTTGTTGCATCATAATTGAACCGGGATGGCCAAGCGGTCGTGCCAACTAATATTTGTTACATTAAACCTCTATGTTACTTGTGACATGTGATTCCATCATCATGCTTATACTTGTGTAGTACAAATAGAAGAAAATTCGGGTAACCTTTTATATTTACCCGGTATGATTATAGTAATATGAAGATATTCAATCTTCCTTTCATTTATAGTCTTAATATGCCAACCACTTTGGCTCATACATTTGAACTCAAAAAGTTTCTTTTGAGACTTACTACAATATCAATGTCAAGAACAATTTCATTCATCCGGATATCGACAAATTAGTTCTTTCGGAGCTCTTAATTTATGTCGTACTACAAGATCTTTTATCATACCATCCATATGGTGAATATTTCTTTACGGATAAACTCATATCATAATAATTATCATAGTCAAAATCATCATAAGCAAAATTATTTCTTGCTTTAAATTTGCCTTTAATAACCTTTTATAAGGCACGGCACAATATATTTTTTTGGCGTATCACATGTACGCGACCAATGACATATTCATGTAACCATAATGTTCATTATCTTTCTTTATCTCAAACCTCCCGTAGAGGTGAGTTATAGTATTTATTCAATCATGCATAAGCATATTCTTATGCATAAGTTGTATCACATATATATTTCCACATTTACTTTCAGGAATAAGTCTGCATTTACAACGCTTATCACAAGTCATATTTTCAAGGAATGGACTATAATCATCTGAACGTGCCTCGTATTTACAGACCACATTGATACACATTTCCTTCACCTTTGAAGGATTATTTTGAGAACCCTAATTGTTCTCCATTTTATAATTACCATAATGATAACTATTATTATTTTGGTCTTTGGCACGTCCGTGTTCATTGGTCAATCACTTATCTTCATTTAGACTTATTATGCACCGATATCGTATTCGCTTCAAGAATGGAGCAAATCAAGTGGGACAAGCTGCACTCATTTTCATGAAAATACATTATTTTTCTTTAATCATCATTATATCATCAATATGGTGCATTGGGACTCAAACCCAATGCCTTACCCATATAAAGGCATGATAGGCCATAATGAGTTGGGACTCGGACCCAACTCTTACCATCATGGTGTACCAGAACTCAAACCCAATGCTTTATTCTCATACAATGGCATAATAAGCCAAAGTGGACTCACCCTTGAGCCTTTCATGATTTACTACTTTCTAATGAATAGTTTTTTTGCCCGTACTTTAGTAAGAGTTCGCTTGGATCTTTTCCACGAACAACTACATGATCAAATATAAAGGGAATAGAACTATCTTAGTCATACAAAATTTAAATTCTTTTTATTTTTAAGATTAATAAGAAATCTTCTCAATAACTAACAATTCCATAATTTTGGCTTGCAAACTGTCGGAGCAGTACATATGGGAGATGATGTCAAGGCATCGGAATATGCCCTTGTTTGCAACTCGAAAGTAGAGGTATTTTGTATATATACATCTGCACAAATGAAACTAAATTGTTAAGTAACACAAATTAGACCAAATCTTAAATACTAACGTAAGTTAATTGTAGAATTCATGGCAATTGAAAAATGATACTCCCTGTATAATATAAGCAAACATAACATTGATGTGGCATACGAGATGCTGAGATTTCCATAGGCTTAACCAAATTGAATCAAGGTTGTCGGCCGTTATCTTCTAACTTGGTTAGTGCTTCGTGCTGATAACGTGTTAAGAAACTAAGCTCAAAGCAACGATATAAAACAAGAAAATAGATAAGAGATATAGAGAGAAACAGAGGAGAGATTCTTATTTCTTCCAGGTATTCAAGTGTATTATAAAATGACTTATCATCCTCTATTTATAGTACTACATAGAGGTATACCAAAAGAATTCCATAAATATACCATTAAGCATCTGAGATCATAAAGGAAGATCATGAGAGAGATTATGAAGGTACGGGAGTTACAACCATAAGTATTGGACTAGTGAGAGTTATGGAGATAATGAATAAAAGTAATGGCTGTTATTCATTTAGAAGTTATGGACATCCACCATAATCTAATATTTCGTAACACCATATTAAACTTATTGTTACAATGACTTATTCATTATTAGTAACAACAGATTTAACAAATACACTTTTGCACTTAAAAGTAACAATACACTGGAAATTGAAAGTTTGAAACCCACAGTCCAAATTTAATACTATCAGCAATGGGATTTTGAACCAATGCCCTAATTCTCCTTCGCATCTCATTACCGCGCTTTTCAATATTCAGCACAGTTCACAGGCCACCCCTCCACTCCCTGCATATTTCCCATGATCCAATTTCATTAATGAGCTCTGTCAGCTGCCACCAACTAGAGCGGAAATTCTCAGCTTTTGGACGCAAATTCATCTCTTCCATTGCCTTAGCTGATAGCACATCTAATTTCTCAGACCAGCACCCTATTCAGTTCCTCAATGCACGCACCAACCCCAGAATTATTATTCACTCAAAACCCGAAATTGCGCATGCTCATCTCATAAAGACCCAGAATCTTGAATCCGATGTATATGCTGCAAACTCTTTGCTTGATGCTTACGGTAAATCAAAATTGGACAATGCGGCGAAGCTGCTTGATGAAACGCCTAACCCAAATACATTTTCCTGGAATCTTATGATTTCAAATTCTAACAAAGCGTTATTGTACGAGGATGCTTGGAGGTTATTTTGTAGGATGCACATGTTGGGGTTTGAGATGAATATGTTTACATATGGCAGTGTTCTCTCTGCTTGTGGTGCTTTAACATCTACATTGTGGGGCGAACAGCTTTATGGGCTTGTGATGAAAAATGGGTTTTTCTCTGATGGATACGTAAGATGTGGGATGATTGAGTTGTTTTCAAAAAGTTGTAGGTTTCGTGATGCTTTACGGGTGTTTTATGATTGTTTGTGTGATAATGTGGTTTGTTGGAATGCTATTATAGCAGGGGCAATAAAAAATAGGGAGTATTGGGTTGGTTTGGATATTTTTAGCCGAATGTGGGGTGGGCTTTTAAAGCCTAACGAATTTACAATTCCTAGTGTATTGAATGCTTGTGTTGCACTCTTGGAACTTCAGTTTGGCAAAACGGTTCATGGAGCAGTGATAAAATGCGGCCTGGAAAAAGATGTTTTCGTGGGGACTGCTATTGTTGATTTGTATGCAAAATGTGGGGTTATGGATGAAGCATTTAAGGAATTCATGCAGATGCCAGTCAGCAATGTTGTTTCTTGGACTGCCATGCTAAATGGTTTCGTCCAGAATGGTGATCCTCTTTCTGCAGTTGGAATCTTTGCGGAAATGAGGAATAAAGAGGTCGAGATAAACAGCTACACCGTCACTAGTGTGCTTACTGCATGTGCTAATCCTGCCATGGCAAAGGAAGCAATCCAAATCCATTCTTGGATCTATAAAACTGGGTTTTATCAGGATCCAGTTGTGCAAAATTCTTTGATCAATATGTACTCGAAGATAGGGGAAGTTTCCCTATCTGAGGCAGTCTTTGCAGAGGCTGATAATCTGCAGCACCTAGGTTTATGGTCTAACATGATTTCTGTTCTTGCCCAGAATAGTGATTCTGACAAGGTAATTCATCTATTTCAAAGAATATTTCAGGAGGACCTGAAACCTGATAAGTTCTGTTGTTCTAGTGTCTTGGGAGTTGTAGACTGTCTAGACTTGGGTAGACAGATACATAGCTACACTCTTAAATCGGGGTTAATCTCTAATGTTAACGTGAGCAGCTCTCTTTTCACAATGTACTCGAAATGTGGTAGTATAGGGGAATCATATATCATATTTGAGCTGATTGAGGATAAGGATAATGTCTCATGGGCCTCAATGATTGCTGGTCTTGTAGAACACGGTTTTTCAGATAGAGCTGTTGAATTGTTCAGAGAGATGTCCGTGGAGGACGTCACTCCTGACGAAATGACATTAACTGCTATCCTTAACGCATGTAGTTCTCTTCAGACCGTGAAAACTGGCAAAGAAATTCATGGCTTCATTCTTCGGCACGGTGTTGGTGAGCTCGGCATTGCCAATGGTGCCATTGTGAATATGTATACAAAGTGTAGTGATCTAGTTTCGGCGAGAAGGTTTTTTGATATGTTACCCCTTAAAGATAAGTTTTCTTGTACTTCCATGGTCACCGGGTATGCTCAAAGGGGTTATGTGGAAGATGCGCTTCAGCTATTCAAGCAAATGCTGATGGCTGATTTAGATATTTGTTCCTTTACAATTTCTTCTATTCTTGGGGTTCTTGCTCTTTCTAACAGATCTGGCATTGGCATCCAAATGCATGCATATTGTATAAAAATAGGATCACAATCAGAAGCATCGACAGGAGGTTCACTGGTTATGATGTACTCAAAAGGTGGAAGTGTTGATGATTGCTGCAAAGCATTTGAAGAAATCTTGGCACCTGATTTGGTGAGCTGGACTGCTATGATTGTAAGCTATGCTCAAAACGGAAAAGGGGATGATGCTTTGCAAGTTTATGAGTTAATGAGGAACTCAGGAATCAAGCCTGATTCAGTGACTTTTGTTGGTGTTCTTTCTGCTTGTAGCCATGCTGGTTTGGTTGAAGAAGGGTATTTCTTTCTAACTTCAATGATGAAAGACTACAGAATTGAGCCTGGTTACCGTCATTATGCCTGTATGGTGGATCTTCTCGGTCGCTCTGGTAGATTAATTGAGGCTGAGAGGTTCATAAGTGAGATGCCAATGAAACCTGATGCTTTGGTCTGGGGAACACTACTTGCTGCTTGTAAAGTGCATGGTGACGTTGAGCTAGGAAAACTGGCAGCAAATAAGATTATAGAGTTGGAGCCAAGTGAAGTTGGTGCATATATCTCATTGTCAAATATCTGGGCCAGTGTGGGCCAATGGGAAGAAGTCTTGAAAATAAGGGGTTCAATGCAAGGAACTGGGATAGCGAAGGAGCCTGGATGGAGTTCTTTGTGAAATACATTCAGTACAATAAGTCTTTGCATGTCATTCTTTACTGGTTAGCATATTTTGTCAAGGTGGAGAACTTTCAAAGTATCTGGGGGAGCTACCGACACAGAAACAAAATGGATGAAGACTTGTACTGTGCATATCTTTAGAGATATAGCATCATATGTACCAATCTTTGGACCTCTTCTACACGGTGACTCTACCATCCAGTTGGATAATTTACCAAAAATTTGGTCATAGGTTGCCGAACCTTTGGTTTGCCTCTCCTGGAAAGGTTTCCTTGCATCATATGCTGTAGATTAGGAGTTGAAGAAGAGGAAAATGTTTGACCACACTTACCATTGGATATGTGTAGTACTGTAACCGACTCCCGCCCAACCCTTCACTTTCTCTTATGTATTCCTGTTTCAATCATGCAAACTCCAGTTCAACCCAAATGGCTATCTCATTGGTGTGCAAGAGCGGAAGGTTGCTGCAAAGAGTAATTGCCCTGTCTCTGGCATAGTCCTAGCTATGAGCTTGTCCTAGTGCTGATACACTGAGAGACTTTGGTGTTCCACATGGTCTCTAAACAGCCCTGTTCTCTCCTTTCATCATCTAGCTGCTCACCTCTAAAGTCAAAGCCGAAGAAGAGTCTCCATACAAATGGTGAGACAAGTGCCTCCACCCACCCCCTTCCCTCATGCAAAGAATGTTATTTTCTCTTTCACATTATGATGTATCTTCCAGTTTCCTTTCTATTTAGTTTATGATAGTAGTGTTATGTTTCATGCTCTGTTCCTTTAATTTTCTTGGTTGCATGGCTTCCCCTGTGATTTATGCCATACCAAGAGATGTATTAACTTCAGGAGAAATTTATGCTGCAGATCACGGAACTGAAGCGATCCTGGACTGGACAATTTACTTTACTCAACTCCAGGTTTCATTGCTTGCCTCTCTACTTCTTTTCAGTTTTATCATGGATACTTCATTTTTCATTCTGAACAAATACTGGAGCTTATTTTTCCCTAACGGGGATGGATTTGAGGAGCAATGGGCATTTAAATGCAAGATCAATCTTCAATTTCCTTATCTTGTCTGGAATGTACCTTCTTATCTCCCAACCTTGCCATTTCTCACACCATTCCTAGCACTAACCGGAAGGTCCAAAACATTCAGTGGACTGTAATAAACCTGCCTTTCTTGCCTCTTTTACTTAGATCACAGATTGATCATTGAAGAAACCACTGAAAGTATGCCTTTACGTTCTCTCCATGGAGTATCTTTCTTTTTTTCCTTTTGTCTTTTCTCCTTCTTTTAGGTGGAGGAATCAAAGTTCGGTTTACCAATTATCAGGGAGGACCCAAAAGAAAACACAAATAATTAAGTTACCCGTGTGCCAGCTCAGAAGCTTGCAAGTATATATTGATTATATCAAATAAAACGTCTGTTTCATTTTGCATTGGTGCTCCAGCACACACATGGAAAGCCAACTTCTCAATCACTTCTTAGTTCTTTCTCTTTGCAAAATGAACGAACATAAGGAGATTTAGATTTTAGTTCTGAACAATGTCAAAATTCTTATGATCTATAATTAGATAGTATAATGAATTTTATGACTTCATACTTTTAGTTAAGTATTGAAGGTAACAAGTTTCAGTTAATGAATGGCCTATACCAACTTTTAGGGTCACCTCAATTAATGTGACTTGTTTTTTTTTTCAGATGTCGCTCATTAGTTTCTCTTGAGGACAGTACTGACAGAACTTACAAGAAGAACATTAGGGAATGCCTCTATAAAGATCGTGGTAGTCGTTCTTGTGTACACACAACAACAACAACTACACCTCAATTACAAGCAAGCTGGGGTCTGCTATGGGACGCCTCACAGTCCATGTCACTCCATTAAAGCCCGTCTCAGTCCAGTAACTCTTATGTACGCATAGTAACTAAATTACAACCTCGACACTCAGCTAATGCGCTGTGGAAAGTGCAGGTGTGTCTCAGAAACGTGGATGCCTGCTTTTTGCAGTTCCATCAACAATCAACCAAACACGTCTGTGTCGATTCCCAGTTTCATTTTAGTATAGATACTCCTGTCAGCCGATGAACTGTGTTGCTGTACGTATTTCCAGAGAAAATTTTTTATCTACTTTTCTTTATTTGAGTTTTCTACTTATGTCTTCGAGCAATGGGGTTAACTATTGTCTACACAAGCAGCCTGGCGTGGATACCCCTTTAGATTTGTGAATTTAAGTTTCATTTGCCTGAACTCAGCTTCACATTATTACTTCAGATGCTCAAGAAGAAGGGCCTGTATCACCTTGACTGCAGATTGTCTGATAATATTCCTCATTTCCTCTTTAGCAATAGGAAAGAAATAGATGAAACACTTGGAATTGGCGAAGCATTTTCTGTTTATGGAGTGATGGTTAACTGCCTATATAAGCTGGCATCAGTATAATATAACAAAATTCTCCAGATTCGAGAATATCTATATTATATTTTGATTCTTTTATCTTAGTCAACGACTATTATCTCACAAATTTTTACAATCATTTCCAAAATAACTTGTATATAAACTCGTTATATCCAAATTACTGTCATCTCATTTTCTTTCAGATGATACCAAGACATGATTACAATTGGTATATGGTCTAGATTTGGTTTCACATCTAACTTTCATACAATTTCTCACTTAGGCTAGCTAATATTTGAGCTTGAAGTTTCCATGTTACAGCTCTAAATAGAGGTAGCAAACAAAACGGGGAAGGACAGGTTAAGACTTCCCCACTATACTTTTCCCTCACCCTGTGCTATGTTTTCCTTTTGTTCTTGTAAGCCGCCCCATCCTTTCAGCCTAAACTTCTTTTTCTTCAGATTTCATTGTTCTTTACTAGTGTATTATTTTTTTTCTTTTTTTTGGCAGCATTCAAGCACCTGAGCATAATAATATCAAACTGCCAGTGAGACTTTGCATCAGACATTTGTGGATTTGCAGCCTTACATAATAATTTTCGTATTACTGTATTAAGAAACACGTACACAAGGATTTGACCTTAGTGGCCAATGAAGTGGGTGTCCGAATGCCAACATTATAAATACATAATCTATTAAGCCAACAGATGTACATATTTCTCTACAACTCTTTCCTTGGACAAGAAAGAGCTCCAAGTACATGCACCGCCACCCAATATGCAACTATAGTGAGAAATGAATACCGTTTTGCAGGATACGCTTCTTCTACCCCAACTACAATGCAAAGGAATCAGTAACGTTCCAGTACCTACTAAAGAACTGCACTGAAAATTCTTCAAATTTTGAATTTATTAAGCTACTAAACACTGCTCTCCTACTGGTCATATCACACTACACATGCTAAATCCTTGAGCAGCTACAGGAAAGTAAAGTCTACAAACTAAATAGTAGCCAAGGACAAAAGTTACTCGAACTCTTTTCTCTCAAGAACTCTATATACAGAAAGGCATAACAAATGATAAATATTAAAGTACAATCTTGCAGCTATAGCCAATCTTCACCAAAATCAAATGCAAATTAAACTGCTCTAGTCTCCCCCACACCAGTTGCAGCATTGCAGCCATCATAAATCACAACCAGCAAAACAACAGTACACTATACACCACTCAGATCTGGCTCTTCCTCTTCATCAAGCAACGCGGGGCATGAAACTCTGGAAGATGAACACGGTAGATTCTCTTTGTTTTGAGATTCTATACTTACCTATAAAAGATCATATGAACACCAAATCATTAAAATGTTGGTGATATAGCAAGACCAGAATAAAGCCAAATCATTAATATCACAATGTGATCATTGTTAAACAAGCAATAGTTGACCAAGTTCACAAACCGAAGAACAAAATACTAATGAAGTGAAACTATTTTGTGAAGGATAGAGAAACTAGGTGATTAATCTACAGCTTAATGGGATCTGTGTATGTTCATTATGTGATGCCAATGACTTGGAGACTATCTTACAGAGCTGGAACTATGTCCCACTTTGTACTTTTTTAGTCATTTGTGATAAAGGTACTATAGATGTTTTGGAGCAATTAGAAAGCCCCTAATAGCTTGAAGTCTGCATGTTCACACCTTTTTGGTGTAATATTAGTATTGTGTGTGAGTCATGGGACGATATGATGGATTCTATCAGTTCCCTACGCTACTGAACAAAGGACTATGGCTATATTGCACTCAACACTTTTTATATTCACTTATCAAGAAACAATAAAAGAATAGTTCCACAAGAAGACAACATTTACGAAATACCAAATACTAGCTGATTAATCTAACCATTTTCAACTGTCAAATTTCTGTTTGATAGCTCCAGAAAAGATGGCTTTAGGCTCTATTAAGCAATGACCCAAGTCATTATGCTCTGCATGATGAAATTAAGTAATGAACCACCCTAAAAATTCACAACCTATCTAAATGGGTCGCAAACATAGACATTCTGGTGGTATTGCTTCTTGGAATAACTTCGATTCTCAACAGCAGTTTATCCTATGGACGAGATATCACACATTTAACTGGCTCTTTGATGAAAGGATTACCTTCCTCTCCCTCATCCCATAAAGGAGATCTACGCCTTGTCTCAGAGAGTTACCAGTTCACAACATCAGTTGAGGGGTAAAAGATTTCACTGCATCTAAGATTCCACTCTTGATATTCAGATCAACTTCTACCATCCACGCCCCATGCATTTCAGTCATGGCGCTATTTCTCTCACCAACTTTCTCACACATGCTGCCCATCAAAGACAAAATCAGATTCTAACCTCAGCAGTAAAAAACAAGGGAAACAGAGAATCGTAAATATACCATTAAACTTGGTTCAAACGAAGCTTGATTAAAGTTAAAAAAGGCATAAAACAAATTCAGAGAAAACAAAGGAAAAACAGAACTTGGCCTTGTTAAAGAACAATAATAAACCAGGGGAGTACTTTTTTCGTCAAGCATGGCTTTAAGGAAGCGGTAGAGAATGGTAGGACTAGGCAGCATCATCGCTTCTAATAATGGCTTTCCAAAACTGAGTTATTTTCTTTTTTTCCATAGATATCTGATAAATCCCCGATGGCCAGCTTACAAAGCCCCATAAATTTTGGACCTTATTTTGGGTTATTTAAAACCTAAAAGCTGCATTTAAAGTGATCCTGAGGTGTATCTGGGCATACACGAGGGTGGTGATGTCATTGGGATACGTAAGCATGTCTATGGAACTAGTTGGAAGGGATTGGAAGTGGCAAGGTCTAGCCAAGAGTTGGAAAAAAAAATGGAAAAGGAAAAATCAAAAAATTAAATCTTGATTAGTCATTGTGGGCAGAACGTGTGCTTTAAATAAGAATAATCCTTTTGGTAGCATACGTTTGTATAATAAGAGATACTTTGATATGGTAAATATAAAGTAATCAAAGTTGGCTACCCACTTAAAAGCTTTACACTAAGTAAGGCTCAAAGATTATGTAACCATCTTATGTAGTAACTTGCGGAGAGAGAAGCAAAAAATGGGGCATTTTCCCATTTCTTGATTTCTACCAGAAGGTAGCGAAGAGGAAACACCCATCTCCATCTTTGCAAATAACGAGCAGCTCTAAGTGGAGAAGCTTAGAGCTTGCTTGAGATTATTCAAATCAAAAGTGGTAACAATCACAAGAAGTTTTCAAGAACACTTAAATCTTCCGAAGCTAGAATTTCACTACAACAAGGTAATTTCACCATTCTCTCTTCAATTATAAAGTCCAAATGATATTATTAAGTGTATTTGGGTAGAATGTGAGTGAAATTTACTATTAAAGTAAATCCAAAAATGACTTTTCATACATTAAAGAGTTGAAAAAAGAAGAAGATGAATAGTATTTGTGGTTAATAATTGAGTTACTTAATGACTAATAATTTCATTGAGCTAATGTATGCTTAGAAATGGCATTTTGGACCTAAATTATGAGAGCAATCGGGAAGAAAAGTATTGGATGGCTTGATGCAAATTGTGAATCCGGAAATAGGTTATGATGAATTGATTGAACTTAAATTGATGAAGTTCAATTGTAAGTGTTGTAGATTGATAAATGTTGAAAATATTGGACATGTTGAATGTATCAAGTCCGTTAGTGGGAGCGAAATAGAGGTAAGCTAAGACATATCTTACGTTAAGGAGTTATGCTAAAAGTGCATGAAAGTGAGTCTATGATAAAGTCTAAAATGTTTGTATAGTTTTGAATGATCGAGCGAGCTATACATTCCATGTTTGAAATGAAATGGGCTATCGTATGCTTAAATATCTAGATTGATATGTTGGTTATACTATTGCCTTGAAATAAATGATAGCACCATGATGAGTTTATAACGACTTGACAATCGTCCGTCATGATATTATACATAGCACAGTGATGATGATGATGATGATTTCAATTGGTTATATTCCTTTTGCGAGGAACAATTGTTGAGTGAATGTTTTACTTCTGCCTAATAGACCCCCCTATCCTTATCCAGAACTCCTAACTTAAATAAGAAATTGCTAAAATAATGCTTTGACTTAAATTATGTCATTTTATCACATAAAATGCATTTCATTGTTTAAAGCTTTATTAATTGCATTGTCAAAATGTTATGTTATATTTTTACCTTTCTCAAAAAAAAAAAGGTCATGATATACTATTTTATCCTGTATCCCGGAGTTTCAAAGCCAGTGCTCAAGAATCTTTTCGGGAGGAGTTAATGATACTCAAGGGTATGATTTCATAGAAATTATACTCAGCCTCCTTCGTGGGACAACTTACTTGACGTTTCAGATATTGTAGCATCTGAAGTTGACAGCACGAGACTAGGCGTCTCCTTTATTCTCTACTATACTTTGGTGACCCTGCTTCTTTTATCAGTGGGTGCATCTAGAGATTATATTAACTTTGTATATGTCTATAGAGGTCCCAATGACACTGTGCGCAGGTCTAGTCATGTAGATGGGCTTTATATTTTTATTTCTCATAATTCATTCCGCACTCATGTACTTTGGCCAAATGCCTAATTATGTTTTGAGTTAAAAAGGAGACTTTGAAACCAAATGATTTAAAATAGTTTCTAAATGTTTAAGTTATAATTAAAACTTTGAAATAATCAAGAAGGGGTAGACAGGTTTATGTAGTTCACTCGGTGTGACTTGATGGCATTGGGTGCCAGCTGCGTTTGTCTTTTTTGGGATGTGAAAAACTTGGTATCAGAGTGCCAGGTCGAGTATGTCCTAGGGTGTGACGGTGTCTAGTTCAGCTCACTCTTATTGGTATGTTGCGCTTCCACACTTATAATTGGGAGGCAACATAACATTCAGAAAAGTTATTGCTTTTTTCATTCTAGGTCATGCATTCAAGCGTAAAATGAGAATCGAACTCCTATTTTCGTCTTTCACAAATGGTTGACAAACGGCATGATTGAAGGGCGCAAGATTCGACACTTCGATGGCACTAGCTACTTGAAGTGTAGTGCATAAGGTAATTGTCACTCTCATAGTGGGAATGAAATTAAAGGAAAGAAAGTATGCCCCGAATAAGTTAAAAACACCTGTTAAAATACCAATGGTCTGTTTGAAGGAAGACAGAGTAACGATATAATCAAACGCTGTCAAAGTCAGGACTCATGAAAAAGATATGGTAATGAATAGGGATTCTGATGGTAGTGACATGAAAGTAAGAGCGGCAGTGTCATCATGGTGCTATCGTTTAGATTGAGGCAATAGTATAACCAACATATCAATATGGATATCTAAGCATACGATAGCCCATTTCAAACATGGAATGCATAGCTCGTTCTTTACAAAACTATACAAACAGTTTAGACAATTTCATAGACTCACTTTCATGTATTTTTTGCAAAACTCCTTAAAGGAAGATACATCTTAACTTCCTTTATTTTGCTCCCAATAACGGTCTCGATACGTCCAATACGTTCAACAATTATCAATCTACAATACTTACAATTGAACTTCATCCATTCAAGTTCAAACAAAGTATCATAACCCATTTTCGGACTCACAATCGGTATCAAGCCATCCAATACCCTTCTTCTCAATTACTCCCATAATTTAGGTCCAAAATGTCATTACAAAGCATATATTAACTCAATAGAATTATTTAGAGTCATTAATTAACTCAATTTTTTACCCCAAGTTACTATTCATCTTCTTCTTCCTTCAACTCTTTAATGTCAAGAAAATCCATTTTTTGTTTGCTTTAATACCAAGTTCCAATCATATTTTTCACACACAAATACTATATAACACCAGTTGAACTTCATAATTAAAGAGAGTGGTGAAATTACCGTGCCATAGTAACACAATGGCTTCGGAAGATTTAGGTGTTCTTGGAAATTTCTTGAGATTGTACCAGTTTTGATTTGAAAAATCTGTGTGAACGCAAGCTCTAAACTTCTCCACTTAGAGATGCTCGTTATTCACGAAAATGGATACCGCGTTAATCTTTAATTACCTAAACTCTGTTAATCTTTAACGTGTTTTTTATTTTATGAAAAAAAACTGAATTTTGACCTACCCACCCTGCGCCACCTAAGAACTCACCTCCCCGCCCCATTTATTCTTTGCCACGCCATGGCCCATCCGACTTCCTCCCTTAGCTCTAACGTTTGTGGTCTATATTTATTTTGCATGCGTATTTTCCAGCACAAACATGAAAATTCATCTACTCAAACACTTGTTTCTCAAGCTTGTAAAATGATCAAACATGCATTTCTAGGAAACTACTATAGAGGACGACAAAAACGAGATTCCCATTCCTTACATAACTAGATACCTAAAAGAGAAGTCCTCTCTGTCTGGGTAAAAACATACCAACAGCACAACACGTGGGATGGCCAAGAAAATTTTGTATAGTAAAATGAAATTTGGTAACAGTGTGAGAACGCATGGGAGAAAAATCTATTATTGATATTCTGTTTAATTATAATACAATGAACCCTATTTATACGATACATATCATACTCCTATTCTATGTGGGACTAGGACTAATTCATATTTATGTACATAACTATCTAACACTCCCCCTCAAACCGATGCATACAAATCATATGTACCGAACTTGTTATATATGTAACTAATACGAGGACCAGTAAGGGACTTGGTGAAAATATCTGCAAGTTGATCATTCGACTTCATAAACTTTGTAGCAATATCTCCTGAGAGTATCTTTTTTCTGACGAAGTGACAGACAATCTCAATGTGTTTAGTTCTCTCATGGAACACCAGATCTGATGCAATATGAATGGCAGCTTGATTATCACACACAAGTTCCAACTTGCTGACCTCACCAAATTTCAACTCATTAAACAAATGTTTGATCCAAACTAGCTCACATGTTGCCACAACCATTGCTCGATATTCTGCTTCTGCTCTAGACCGAGCAACCACATTCTGTTTCTTACTCTTTCAAGACACAAAATTACCTCCTACTAAAACACAATATCCAAGCATAGAATTTCTATCAAAATGTGATCCTGCCCGGTCAGCATCTGAGTACCCAACAAATTGCTCATGGCCTCGATCTTCAAATAATAATCCTTTGCATGGAGCTGATTTTATATATTGAAGAATGCAGGAACCGACTTACCACACTCACAAGAAAGGAAATGTCAGGTCTAGTCACTGTGAGGTAATTTAATTTACCAACCAGCCGCATATATCTTGCAGGATTGCTAAGAGAGTCCCCCTGTCCTGGTAGAAGTTTAGAATTTGGATCCATAGGAGTGTCAACAGGTCTACAGCTTGTCATTCCTATCTCCTCAAGAATGTCTAAGGCATACTTCCGTTGTGAGATTACAATACCTGAGCTAGACTGAGCGACCTCAATACCTAGAAAATACTTTAATCTGCCCAGATCCTTAGTCTGAAAGTGCTGAAAAAGATGTTGCTTCAATTTAGTAATATCATCCTGATCATTGCCGGTAATAACGATATCATCAACATAAAATATCAGATAAATACTGAGATTTGAAGCAAAATGCCGATAAAACACAGAGTGATCAGCTTCACTACGAGTCATGACAAACTCTTGAATAATTGTGATGAACTTACCAAACCAGGCTCGAGAAGACTGATTTAGACCATAGAGGACCGGCGCAATCGACATATAAGGCCACTAGACTCCCCATGAGCAACAAAACCAGTTGGTTGCTCCATATAAACCTCATCCTCAAGGTCACCGTGAAGAAAAACATTCTTAATGTCCAACTGATAGAGCGGCCAAAGGCGAACAACATCCATGGATAGAAAAAGGCGGACTGATGCTATATTAGCCGGGGGAGAGAAAGTATCACTGTAATCGAGCCCAAAAATCTGAGTATACCCTTTGGCAACAAGACGAGCCTTAAGTCGATCAACCTGGCCATCTGGACCAACTTTAACTGCATACACCCAACGACAACCAACAGTCGATTTACCCGAAAAAAGTGGAACAAGCTCCCAAGTACCACTCATATGTAAAGTAGACATCTTGTCTATCATAGCTTGTCGCCACCCTGGATGAGATAGTGCTTCACTTGTAGACTTGGGGACGGAAACAGAGGACAAAAATAATACAAATACACAATGGGGTGATGACAGACGATGGTAACTTAAACCGACATAATGGGGATTAGGATTAAGTGAGGACCGTATACCTTTCCGTAGTGCAATCGGTTGACTAAGAGGAGACAAATCCGCAGTATTAGCACGGTCAGGTGCAGGACGTGAATCAGCTGGGCCATATGCTGGGCGCGGACGACGATAATAAGTTAAGAGTGGTGGAGCTGTAGAAGGTTGAACTGGAGTAGGTGGTGGAACTGGAGCTATAGGTGGTGGAGCTGCAACTGGAGCTGTAGATGGTGAAGCTGGAGTTATAGAGGATGATGAATGGGAGATGTAACTGAATCTCCAAAAAATGGAGCTGGTAGCACCTCAGAAATATCTAAGTGATTACCTGGACTTGTGAAGTATGATTGGGTTTCAAAAAAGGTAACATCAGCAGACATAAGATACCGCTGGAGGTCAGAAGAATAGCATCGATATCCCTTTTACGTTCTCGAGTAACCCAAAAATACACACTTAAGAACACGAGGAGCTAACTTATGTTTTCCTGGAATAAAGTCATGAACAAACCACGTGCTCCCAAAGACACGAGGTGGAAGAGAGAACAAAGGTAAGTGGGAAAATAGGACAGAGAATGGAACTTGATTCTGGATAGCTGAAGATGGCATACGATTAATAAGATAGCAAGATTAAGAACTGCATCCCCAAAAACGCAAGGGAACATGAGATTGTATAAGTAGGGTATGAGCAGTTTCAATAAGATGTCTATTATTTCTTTCAGCTACCCATTTTGTCGGGATGTGTAAATACAAGATGTTTGATGAATAATCCCATGAGAGTTCATAAACTGCTGAAATGGGGAAGACAAATACTCTAGGGCATTATCACTACGAAATGTGTGGATAGAAACCCCAAATTGATTTTGGATTTCAATGTGGAAGGTCTAGAAAATAGAAAACAACTCAGATCGATTTTTCATCAAAAATATCCAAGTGCACGTGGAATAATCATCAATAAAACTGACAAAGTAGCGAAATCCCAAGGTAGAACTGACCCGACTAGGACCCCAAACATCTTAATAGACTAAAGTAAAAGGTGACTCTGCTCGATTATCAAGACGCCGAGGGAAATGGGAGGGAGTATGCTTACCGAGCTGACATGACTCACACTCTAGAGTAGACAAGTGAGATAAACCAGATACCATTTTCTGAAGTTTCTACAAACTAGGATGTCCCAACCGTTTATGTAATAAATCTGGTGAATCATTAACATGACAAGTTATTGAAGGAAGACAAGATGTGAGTCAATGTGATTTTGCACGGATAAGGTAATAAAGTCCATCTGATTCACGCCCGGTACCAATGATCCACCCTGTACTGCGTTCCCGCATAAAAACAAGGTCATCCAAAAATAAAACAGAGCATTTAAGTGATTTGGCTAAGCGACTAACGGCTATGAGATTAAAAGGACTACCGGGAACATAAAGAACTGAATCTAAAGGTGAGGAAGGAAGTGGACTTGCTAGACCTATTCCAGTTGCCATAGTGGTTTGAGACCCGTTGGCCATTTTGACTGTTGGGAAAGATTGAGAACATGAAATAGTAGTGAAAAGCGATTTGTTACTAGAAATATAATCAGATGCACCTGAATCAATGACCCAAGACTCAGAGGTTGAAGATTGGGAGACACAAGTCACGCTACTATCTGTTTGAACAGCGTAAGCTATCACTGAAGATGTTTGTTTACATGCTTTGTACTGAAGGAACTCAATATAATATGGTAAAGAAACCATCTAGATTGGATTCAAAGCATTGAATCCATCGGATTCTTAGTCAAAGGCTACTAATATGAATGCCATTAAATGTTTACGCCGGAATAATCATTGTTCACGTCGAAATAATATAAAAGTGGCCGGAAACAACCTCAAGCCCCAGCGCGTGGACGTCGGAACTTCGCCAGAGAAATTCTTCTGCCGCGCGTGAGCGTGTGAATCCTTTTCTGTCGGAGATTTTTTAAAGGTTTGGCCGCCGAGCCCTGATCTACTTCCTGGTGGCGTTGGTTTTTGCACAACACTGATGGATACTATCGTTCTTGCGGACAGACCTGTTTTTGCCGGATAAAAGGGGTTCCGGTTGAGATTTCTCTTCCCGGAGTCGCTGGAATTTATGCACAGCGATAAATTTCTCACGGTTGCTCTGGTACTATGTGAGAACACACGGGAGAAAAATCTATTATTGATATTCTGTTTAATTATAATACAATGAACCCTATGTATACAATACATATCATACTCCTATTCTATGTGGGACTAGGAGTAATTCATATTATATACATAACTATCTAACAATCGGTAGAGTCATCAAGTAGTTTTTTCAACCTTTTTGATGCACAACTGGGCTTAGGTCCTTAGCTGTACAATATCTATAGAAGCATCCCTGTACTCCTTGCTAAGACCTTTGTCAAAGTCCTTACATCAACAGGGGAAAATCATGAGCCACATCAGATAACACAAAGAATTGTCATCAGTTTTTTTTGTAGTCAGACGAGAAATGTCTTTTACTCTGATCACTCTCTTAATATATGTATGACATTTTCATTACAAGCCCCGGGGTGGGGGGGAGGGACATCCATAACATTTCGGGAAGTAACTCCTGAAAATGGTCTGAAACTCATCATGAGATTCTCTACAACATGTAATTATAGAAAAGAACTTGATATTGTTTCAAAATTTTCGGTCTTCTTTACAGTATCTAACTATAGATCACAAACTTTTTTTTTATTTGAAACTTTCGTCAAATTTCCAACAAATCTACATAAGAAGCCGGGCTTGGATTCTCCTTTCTATCAGCTTACACTTGCAAATATAAGGTTTCTTTTAGCTAAGTTTATTATTATTTTGGATGCTGAAGAAGAAAGAACAATGTTGTAAAATTACCTGATCTACGAGTGCTGAGAGGTGTAACCAGGAGATGTCCCTTGGAGAGACTTGGGAAACATCATTGGATAATTAAGCATTGAATCAACATGATTGAGATAGCCAAGAAGCATTGAGACTAAACCCACTCTCTCTTCAAAGGTCCGATGTTTTCAGCTAATGTCACAGGCTTTTGCCATCGTGTTTTTGCACCACTGTCTTCTTCATGAGACTACAGCTATATCGCTCTTGTAAGATGGCTTTGAAACAGCATAGCTTCAATCATGCTTTGCTACTTCTCACAAATCGCGGCTCAATATTACCTTAGTTTGATTGCCATCAATGCTCAAGTGACTAGTGGTAGAATGTTTTCTGTGTACAGAAGAAAGAAGCAAAAATACTTAGAACGACTAGCTCTAGACTTCTGAGTTGTGGGCAAGCTCTCTTGTCATTGCAGTAGTCTCAATCCAAGAAGTTCGTTTACATGTCAAATTTATAGTTCATTCAGCTTTCATTGATCTTCTGAATAAAACGTAATCTTAATCCAGTTGATTAGAGTTTCATTTATTCGTGCACCACCTTTTTCTTTTAGGTGATCTATCAGCAGGCTGGTGAGTGCAATTGCTTCTTGATTCTCTGGGGAAAAGGTTGAACATAACCTGTGTTCTTATATTTCTTCATTTTGAGCATTCTTACTTTGCATCTGGAGAAAACGTAAAATGTCCCCGATTTGCAAAATGCATGTTCATGTGGTATTCTGTCTCATGCATTTCCATTTCTCCTCCCTCAAGCCAAAATATAAGAGAAAAGTAATTTTCTTTCATTTTATCCTCCATCTTCCAATCCATTGTTGCATGCGGAATATGCTAGGTGGTGTTTTGAAATTAATCCGGAGAGGTTTCTGAAGGTTTTCTGGAAGAAGTTAATTACACTAAAATGTGTTTAGATAGCTTAACTTTTGTAATGACTTTCCAGAAAAAGAATTTAGAAAACTGTCACAGAGCAGAGTTTATTCAAATAATGTTTTAAAAAATTTTGTAGCTGAAACCGGTCAAACACACACAATCATTTCACCTGCCAGATTATCTCCGAAACAAGTCCCCTTTTATTTTTCATATATTCAACTTTCAACAATAATAACCATTTGATTGGATAGCTAGTTGAATCACTTAACTTTTACCATCTTGGCTTAAATATTTATACATTATAAATACAAATATTAGAGTTGTTGTATCCAGGCAAAAGACTTTTGAGTGTGTCATTGTTATGTGTACTCCAGTAAATGAGAAAAGTAATTACTTGAATAGGACGAACCTTCACGGATAATTTCTTCAAAACCTTTTTGTCTCTTATCCCGTCGTATAAAAGCTCATAGGCATAATAGGTTATGTGATTCTTCTTCAGCAAGTCTTCCACAAAGATCTTGGGAGCTGCCACATCCTTTTTATCTGCTTCAAAAATTGTGTGGACCACATCAGGTATAACAGCCTTCTGCACCATGAGATGAATGATACCAACTGCTTCGAGCAACCTGTTCTTCACGCATAGGCAATTGATCACTCGCCCTACTGTTTCTTTTGATGGAAGAAACTCTTTCGTCATGTTGTCAAGCAAAAACTTGTACCCCAATTCGCTGTTGTCTACCTTGCAGAAACCATCTATCATACAACGGTAGGTGTAATTGTCAGGAGAACAGCCACATTCACTCATCTCAAGAAATAGCTTCTCTGCTATGTCCATTTTCAGCTTCTTAGCAAATGCACTAATCAAAATATTGTACGTTGCAGTAGTATGAGTGCAATTATATTGTGTTTTCATTCTTCTGAATAGCTCATAGGCTCCTTCCAAATCCTCATTCTCACAAAACCCATTTATCAAAGTGCCAAAAGTCACTGTATCAGGAATAAGACCCTTGCTTTGAATATCCTCAAGTAAGTCTAAAGCTTTCATAAACTTTCTTGATTTACAAAGGCTCTCAATGAGAATATTATATGTGATTATGTTTGGGACACACCCTTTTTCAACCATGACTTTGAAGGTTTCCATCACATCATCAGGAGTTTTAAGCTTGCAAAGTCCATCCAACATTGTGTTATACGTTATCACATCTGGAACAACGTCATGATCCCACATGGTATTTAGAATCTCGATTGCATCAGCCAATTTCGACTGTTTGCAATAACCATCAATCAAGGTATTGAAGGTAAAAATATCAGGAAGGGTCCCTTTGGCCACGGCAAAATTCAGGATATTACTAGCATCAGATACACAGCCCATCTTGCACAAACCATTTATGATCAGATTATAAGTCCATGTATCAGGCCTGCAACCTTTCTCAGGCATTTCAGTCATCAACTTCAACGCTTCTAATATAAGTCCCTGCTGACACATTCCCTTAATTAAGGTATTATATAGGATTACATTACACTTCATACCTTTACCTGCGGCTTCATTAAATAAACTCTTGGCTCTGTTAAAGTCACCATCCTGACATAATCCATAAATAAGGGAGCAGAAAGTAAACTCATCAGGAACAAAACCTTTAAAAACTGCATTATTAAGAATTCTGTCTGCTTTCTGTATCATACCCAATTTGCAATATGCACCAATGATTGTGTTATAGGTGAATGCATCAGGCTCAAACCCACCGTTCACCATTTTATGCAAATAAGACTCAGCTTCAGCAACCTTTGAGTGCTTGCATAAACCACATATAAGAGTGTTATAAGTGACTACATCAGCATTTAAACCTTCTTTGTTCAAAGTCTCTAACATCCTAGCAGCTTCATTTAGTTGGCCTCTCTCAGAAAGACCTTGCATCAAGACATTACATGTAAAAAGATTTGGAAACACTCCTCTTTTCATGATCTTATTAAGAAGCCTTTCACTTTCTTGGACGTCCCCCTTCTTACAAAGCATACATATAAGCTTATTAAACGTAGTAACATCTGGAGTTATTCCGAGCCTAAGCATTTCATCGAACAATTCACAGGCCTCAACTCGACAATTCACTTCATAAAATCCACCAACTACTGTACAGTACGCAACTGCATTAAATCTGCATCCTTGATCGGGCATGTTATTCAAAAGCCTCAAAGCAACATGAGGCCGGTTCGTCCTACAAAACGACTTTATTCTAATAGTAAAGGTATATACATCAGGAGAAATCCCCTTTTCCAGCATTCTCATATAAACCTTATGAGATTGTTTAAAAAACCCATGTTCAACCAATACATTCATGATCGTGTTATACGAATGAACAGACGGCTGACAATTGAAAAACTCCATCTTCTCAAACACGTCAACCGCCTCTTGAACTTTCCCTTTCTTCCCATAACTTCTAATAGCAGTAATGTACACCCCTTCTAACAACTTATTATCAATCTTCTGCCTCGCTTCTTCGATGACGCCTTCCATTTCATTGAACTCCCCATAACAACCAAGCTTTTCGACCATACATTTATAGGTAGACAAATTATGGTTAAACCCATCTTCCTTTTTCACTGAATTGAATATTTCTAGTGCCCTTAATGGGTTCTTTTGACATTTTAATACAGCAGCCACATGTTTAGGAAGCACAGCAGCACTCATTCGTATAATATCAGTAAATCAATCCAAGGGCGGGGGCGGCTCTAGGTAAGGGAAGTGAAGCTCTAGCGCTTAGGCCCCAAATATTTAACGCCCAAAAATATAAAGTACTACTGTATATATTTATATAATTATTGATAAAAATATTTTAAATTTTAATATTTATCTAAATCTGGTAAATATAGGATTGAATGGATTAATAGAATAAAAAATTTCTCTTATTAAATTAAATAATATATTTATCTTCTCATCAATTCTATTTTTCTTTCTTTCTTTTTTCATATTTTTTACTATTTTACTTTCTAATTTAAAATCAAATTTTTTAAATTAGCTATTCCTTTTCGTCACATTTGATAGATCCTCGTATCAGTAATCAAGTTCTTTTGTGTCTCATTTTTTTAACTAAGAAATCCCAAAGACAATTATCGTAACGTTCAAAACACGATCGATAATATGCTCAATCCTTTTTACCATTTTTATTTAACGCTATATTTTTTTTATAGGGAGTTCAATACCATATGACTTACGCCTAATTATATGTTATTCTCTCAACACTTATTTTGTCTCAATATTATATGGATATTATGAAAGAAATTTCAGGGTCTTTTAATATATTTTAGTTTAAAACCACTAGTTCCGTTGAGCCACCTTCATTAAGGATCAACAATTATTTATAGACCACTGCCCATGAATGTGTTATTCAACTGCTTCATTCGCATTTGGTAACTAAATAACACATTCACTGATTGTTGTCTTATCTTAATTGAGACTCTACAAAATTTGATTGAGAATAGCAGGGGGATGGACACGTGGCTCAATTTAAGATACTAGTAAATCTTTAATTTAGGTCCCCAAAATTTTTTAATAATGGATATTATGATTATATTTCAAGTTAGACAATATTAAAGTTTGCAAAAAAAAAAAATACAATAAACCTTGGACAAAAGGAAGAAAGAAAGAAAGAAAGAAAGAAAGAAAGAAAGAAAGAAAGAAAGACTATCTACTCTTTAACACTGAAAATATTTTAGAACTTTGAATTAAATTACTTAGATCTTCATATTAGTAAATATATTTTTTACAATAAAATCAAAGGTCACATATTGAAAATACATGTCTTACATCCAATTTATTTTAAGTTATCTCTTACTAATATAAATGATAATACTACTATGTGAAGCTAAAGGTTTCATCATTTAAGCATTTTATACTATAAATAACAAGTATGAAAATATGGCAACACTAACTTTTTTTTTTTGTATATGTATGTGTATATACTAATAAAAAAGTATAAGGTATTAAATTTCGCTTTAGGACACAAACTTTATGGAGCCGCCATTGAATCAATCAATCAACCAATACTACTCACTCTGTTTTTCACTCATTTCGAAAACCTGAAGAAACAATTAAGAAAACAGCAAATGAGCAACAAAAAATGTACAATATGTATTATGGGAGAACAAGATTACCTGAAAGTGTTGTAGGATTTTGCAGTTAAAACTTTCGATTCTTTTGAAGAGGAAAAAAAACTGATTTTTGAAGTCGTTAAGCTGACTGGGAGTTAGTTCGGCAAAGTTGGCGGCTGAGGGGAGAAGCAGGTGAGGAAGAATCGGGTTTAGTTTCAATGATTTCTCCGTTTGTAGATTGAGCACATTGTATGTATTTCTCTATCTAGTTTAGAGTTTAATTTTGAAGAAGAGAAGATACAAAAGGCTAGTAGCCAAAAGAAATTGTAGTGTATGTGGGGACTTTTCCTTTGTCTTTTTATCGTATCTCCGATTCCTAACAAGTTGCGAGTCATGTTGTGGAAAAAAAATGGGTATTGTGAGTTGGTTGCGCGAAGGTTCCTCTATGTCTTCCCAAAAAGGTTTCAGAAGGTTGACATAGAAGATTGGATGAATCTTCGACGAGGCTAAGGTATCCACCTGGTATGCGACTTTCCCAGGGTCCAATGTACTTTTGCAATAGGCGAGGCTCATGGACCCATGAAAATAAGTATCGCTTTGGGATTTCCACCATCACTTTGTCTCCTGCTTGACGATTGTTTACCTTGAAAATGATAATTACAATTAGATATAATTTTGTGGTTCTAAAAATACGTGATCTATTTTTATGCTAGTTGTTTAGACGATAAGTGTTAAGTAAGAGATTCGAAGACGAGATAAGAGCTTGGAAATAAGGTGATAACCAAACCGATAGGCTGATAAGCGGGACCACGAGCTTGCTTATTCGGGGCCTCGAGGTCGAGTATTATACACTGCCGTAGGCAGTCGATGGAGGGGCTAACAATTATGATAGATTCAATGATGTCTCTTTATGGCCAATAATAAGTAATAAATGAAGAACAATAAATAAAACACAATGAATGTAAGCAATAAATGGAGGTAAAGAGCTTAGGAGAATATGTTAGAGAGCAGAGAGAATGTTCTTGTGTATTTAGTATTGAGTAACAGATCTCTTCAAAGTGACAAGGATCCCCTTTATATATGAGGGGGAACCCCAACATAGTACAAATATATTTATTACAAAGATATGGAGATGCGACAGCTAGTTGACGCCATGATTCGGGTCTGAACTTAGCTCACTAGACTTTGTCAGCTCTAGTTATGCGCCTTGGGAACTTCCCACTTTTTCATCACAACCATTGGTATGCACTGCCCCGAGGTCGAGCGTCAATAGCCCTCGAGGGTGAACCTCGACCATAATCTCGAACCTGTGAAACGTGCTTACGAGCCGTCGCAACGATGGAAAATTGGACCCTTCGATTTTACTGCATACAGATAGTCCCCGCGTTTCTTAGAGTGAAAATGATAAGAAACGACCTTGAATTCCTGCCCCATTGGAACTTCCGTAATGACGGCAGTCATAGGGTGCCAAAGATTGCGTACACACAAGCCATTGAAAGCCTTTGCATTGATTACAGTGGTTGGCCGTCCTTTGGCCTTCTTCAACGCGCGTGTGGAGCCTCTATAAATACCCCTTCTCTCGTTCTTTATAACTCTCTACACTGCCAAGCCCCCAAAAAGGTTCCTTCTACCTTCACTTTAGTTCATTCTTCGAGCCGCAATTTCCCTTTTTCCTCTAAAATCTTTTAGGAATGGCGAAAACTTCCGCCTCTGCTTCTTAGGAGAACGCGACCTCCTCTTCCTCGCTTCCATCTAAAGGCAAAGCGGCAGTGCCTCCTCGTGTTGAGGAATCCGTTCCAGGATCTTTTGCAACGGCTTCCGATTTCAAAGTCGAGAAACCTTCTTCGAAGCCGGGGCGTCGCGAGCCTGTGTCTCAGTATATTAGCTCAATAACAGACGTCGGAAGGGTGAGGACTGATTGTCGCTGGGGGGATGCGGTGCTTGTGGAGATCCCTTCTCGAGAGAAGGATATAACGACATACAAAGCCGATTTTCTCAGTGTGTATACTTACCCATTTACCCTTGGGCCGGTGGGGCCATCCTTGCCCCTGATAGACCCCGTGATTTTCGATTTCTGCCAACGGTATCAAGTGACTCTCGGCTAAATTAACCCTTCGTTCTGGCGCATTGTCTACATGATCAGGCATTATATGAACATGATTGAGGAGATTCCCTTCACCCTCGATCACCTGATCAGGATGTACAGCCCCTAGGGGTGTTCAAAACCGATCCGAAATCGAAAATCGAACTGAACCGAAGCTTAATGGCTTACTGGTAACGGCTTAACGGACGGGGAACGGATTGAATTTTTTTTATTAACGGCTTATCGGTTTGGGGGCGGATTATTCAATTTTCTTAACGGATAATCCGTTAACCCGTTAAGAATATATATATATATATATATATATATATATATATATATATATATATAATATAAAAACTAAATTATTTTATTATCACTAATAGTAAGTCCATCTCCAACATGATTTCTTTCTAATTGTTCCAGACACTCCATTGTATTGCTTGTAAAGTTGTTTGCAGCTCTGCTGACTTATTAGTACAGTCCTGAAGATCTTTAGCAAGTATCCTCACTATCTTGATCTGATTTTTGTATGTCACGAGCGGTAAGAAAAAAGGCAGAATACATAGTTTACCCCCCAACCTTGATGTCAAATCCCTATGACACACTCCTTCAATACGGGCAACCTTTTACACATGCAACTTTTTAAAGTGTGTCTAAAACACACCACTTTTGCTCACCTGATATCGCGTGATTTACACCCAATAGAAGCGAGTGAGCATTAAATTTTTTGTGTATGGAGCTATAAATTGACGCCATGTGTCCAGTTATTTTCATTTTTTTTTCTACCTATCTTCTTTTTCCATCAAATATTTTAATCAATCTTAAATTTGTTTTTAAAAAATGTTTTTTAGCCCCCATCTTCACCATTCCTTCATTGCTGCTCCGCCGCCATACTCCATTGTTGCCACCAACATCACCTACCTCAATATGGGCACACCATAATTTTTTTCCATTTTCGTCGTTCTAAAAATAAAACCCATAAACTACAAAGGAAAAAAGCCACTACTTTGCCACCAATTCAACGAAACCCATTTCAAATTCTCTATCACAATCCCAATGTTCTAATTTAATTCAAGCACTGTCAATGTAGCAAAGCTCAAAATCAGAGCTTCGAATGTAAAGGGATTAAGGAGGTAAATGAAGAGACTTCAAATAATGAGCACATGATTCAAAATGGAATTTTCCAACTCCAAATTATAACAAATCTTTTTTAGAGAAAGAAAGCACCTACAAATAAATATTGCCCATCAGGTCAACAAAATCTAGGTTTAAATTCGTAAAGCTGATAGCCACGCTGGATTGTTGGTTTCCACCTTTTAAATTATTTGAGGAAGAAGAAACTTTGGGATTTTTGTTGTTTAGAGCCATTTTGAGAGATAGATTTTGGCTAAAATGGTGTCTTGGGTAGATTAAGAAGATGAGGAAGCTTTTCTATTTCTTTTTTCCTTTTTTAAGAAGATGGAGAGTTTTTTAAACGTAATTTTCTTTTTTTTCTTTTAAAAGTTAATGACACGTGTCACGATATTAACGGTGTGTGGCATACACTTGCGGGGAACAAAGTGGTCAAGCACCGAGCAGGTGT